TAAAATACCATTGTTATATTTTTTATGTCAATTTTAATAAAAAAAATATTTATTAGTACACCTCATTTTTAGTAAACTTCATAAAACCGGTTAATTAAACTGCTTATTAATCACTTTTTATTAAAATCTGTTTTAATTAAACTGTTTTTTATTAAATTGGTTTTTATTAAACTGTTTTTTATTTAATTGATTTTTATCAAACTGTTATTTTTATTAAACTGTTTTTTATAGAACAGTTTTTTATTAAACTGTTTAATACAAAAACAATATATTATTAAACTTTTTTTAAAATCTATATTTTACAATTTATTTCGGAAAACAGTTTTTAATGTCTAAATAATTATTTTATAGTTAACATGTCAAATTTTTTTGGAAGTTTGACATGAGGGGGTATTTTTCAAATAATTCGGAAATAATAAATTTGATTAATGATAAAATAATAATAATCCTAACAATGTCTAAATAATTCATGCATAAGTCCGAAATTAAGTCATGTTTAACCTAAAATCAAATAATATTTAGGCATGCATATTAAACTTGTACAAAAAAAATAAAATTGAATCAAACTATATCTAAAGCATGTGTATTACAAATCAAACAAAAAAGAAAAAATATATTTTATCATCTTTGAGCATGCAAATTAATATTGTAATTCGAAATTAAAACAAAACTAATAAAAGGAAGAGATTAATATTGAGCATGCAAATTAATATTGTAATGTGAAATTAATATTGTAATCCGAACATAATAATAACATGCATTTGTGTGTATAAACGTAACAACATATACACATATAATCATATTAAATTAAATGTATATACACATAAATATGTAGTTGTGGAATAAATCATTAGGGCATTCAATGTTCAATAATGCATAGGAGCATATAAACATGCATTTGAGTACATAAACATGCATTTGTGAGTAAAAAATTAATTGAGAAAACATAACCTTGATGTGGAGAGAGGTGCGAAAAAAGAGGAGTAGTGGACGACGGCAGCGGACGGCGGCAACAAGCGGCGGACAACGGCAGTGCACGGAGGACAGCGGCGGCGCTGGACTCTGGACGGCGGCGGCGGCGGGGTCCATGGAAGAGTCGACGAGAGAGTAAGTAGGGAGGTGAAGAGAGAGTATTAGGGTTGGAGACGTGGAATGAAAAAATTCGCTAAGTGTTGATTTTATATATCGGTGTAGTCACGGTCTTAGTCACGGATATATCCGTGACTAAACCCTTCGTAATCAACGAAATTAGCCACGCGGCATCAGCCGCCTTTGACCGATTTAGTCACGGTCTTATCCGTGACTAAGACCGTGTCTAATTCAAATTTTGAATTTAGTCACGGTGCTAGTCACGGTTAAAACCGTGACTAAACCGGCGGCCCTGACACTTCTCCGGCTGCCAGACTGACATGTTAGTCACGGAATTATCCGTGACTAAGACCGTGACAACGTGAAATTTTTTAGTATAAATCATCTTTCTCCGGCCATAGACAGAACTGTAAAAAAAATGGCTAATAGAGGTCCAATTGACTGGGATTCGATGTGTAGAGATATGAAACGACTTAAGCTGATTACAGAGCTTATGGAGCCGAAAACCGTGGAAGCATACGAGAGAATCAAGGAGTTGATGTCTAGACCCCTTGAAAGTTTTGGCGATTATAAAGATGAAGAATCCGACTCGTTGGGCAAGTCAAAAGCAAGAAATTTGTGTCGGATGCTTCAACGTGCACAAGAAGTTTCAGAGTATATGGACCCGATCAACGAAGAAGCTCGAATGAAAATTCAGGAGTTGTGGGCTAGGCCTCTTGAAAGTTTCCGATTGAGGAATGAATAATGTTAGTTAGGTTAATGTGATAAATAAATCTATGTTAGTTGTTTGATAAATAATATGTGATAATTTCATTGTGTGTTTTGTATTTATCTTTGAAATTTGATAAATAAATCTCTGTTAGTTGTTTATTAATATCTAAATTTATTATAATATTCAGATTAGTAAAAGTAAATTACTTTTTTTTTATTTTCGAATTTTGTTAATTTTCGAATAGACTTAGAATTATTAAAATTAATTTTTGAATTTCGAATTATTAAAAATTATTAAAATAAATTTTCGAATTTAGAAAAATCAAAAATAATATTTGAATTTTCGAATTTGAAAATAAAAGAATATAATATAGAGTAATTTCATATTTTGTATTGGGTAAATTTTATTTTGAATTTATAATATGGATATAAAAAACTTGTTGTGGTTGAATTAATATGGAGTAATTTTTTGTTCATAAATAATAATGATAAAGATAGAAAAAAATTCAAATATTGTTGGAGTAATATAATGATGAAGAAATCTGCACAAATATTAGAAGTCAATAAAATTGAAATTACAACAGCACAATTATTCGCTATCAGAATCGTCATTTTCTACATATACAGTATCTTCTTCTGTATCTGAACCGTCTATCCATTCACCTTCTTCCTGATATTGAGCGTTTTGTTGTGCTACATACATTTCCTCAATTTCGCGCTCAGATGGAATGGTTGGGTCCGGAAGGTGCGTTTCTGGCATGACTTCAACACGTCCGCCATTTGGATCACTTAATTGGATGTCATAGTTGACCGTCTCAACAATAGGCGGAGGTTGGAAAAATTGTTGCTGAAAAGCATCTAGATCAACGTCCTTGTGTTGAGTTTGTGATTTTATTTTGTTCGGACGGACAGGACATGCACACACCCAAGGATTCTGTGTCCGCCTTGTTGAAGGATATTCTGCATAATAAATCTGCGCTGCTTGTTGGGCGAGTATGAAAGGCTCATTTTTCGGGTACACACGAGACTGGTTGACGTCAATCATATTATACTTCGGATTTTTGCGCACGCCACGTGTGGGGTCGACCCATGTGCAACGGAACAGAACGCATGTCAATTTTTTCGCACCAGAAGGCATCTCAAGTTCCAGAATCTCCTGCAGGACACCAAAAAAATTGGTTTCCGAGTTATCATAACCGATGGTCGGGACACATAACCCGCTGTTCGTTGTTGGTCGGCCCTCTCCGTAATCGGCTGTGTGATATGTGTAACCGTTTATCACATATTGCCGCCACACTTTGGCACTGGCACTAGGGCCCCACGCTAATGATACTAACAAAGGGTCGACAATCCCACGACTATTGATCTGTAAATATAAACATGATAATAACATTAGGTAAATATTGAAAAATCTTACTTAATAATATATATATATATAATTAATGTGTGTGTATATATATACCTGATACTTGTACCAATTTACAAAATCAGAGTCTACCAATGCATCAATTTGATTCTCAGGAAAGGCTGATAAAGAAGCTCTGAATTCACTGTGAATTAAAAAACAAAAAAATTATAAATTAACTACAAATTTAATTGATAAGTATTACAATTATAACTACAAATTTAACTTACTGATAAAACGGTGAGATTTCTGGACAATTCATGAGGATATAAGTATGTGCAATTTGCAATTCCCCACCCACGATGTATCGTTGTGTCGCAGCACCTTTACCTCTGCCTGGGTAATTGAAGATGGAAACTACATTTTCATATAAATCCTCGCCAATGTCATCGTTCCGGGCAGGTCTCTTCCTTCTGGTGATGACGTCACGCTCGAAGTAAAAAGACGAGAACGTTGAGATTTCTTGTTGAAGATACGCTTGACAAATTGAAGCCTCAACGTGTGCCTTGTTGGTCACTTTCTTTTTCAGCTCTCCTAGAAATCTGCAATAATGCAATATAACAACGGTACACATGTTAACAGTTATTGTGAAATAAATATTCTTTTTTTAAATGAAATTGTTACTAACCTTTCAAATCTGTACATCCAGCGATAGAAGACGGGCCCAGCAGTCAAAGCCTCATACGGAAGATGTATTATAAGATGTTCCATTGTATCGAAAAACGATGGAGGCATTATTTTTTCTAGATTACACATCAGAATGGGAACAGAATCTTGTAGTCTTCGGAGGGATGCCGCATCCAAAACGCTGGAACATATCGATTGAAACAACAAACTGATTTCAGTAATGCAGGACCATACGTGTTCAGGAAGCATCTCTTTTAGTGCAATTGGTAGAAGTCTTTGCATTATTACATGAGCATCGTGAGTTTTCATGCTCGTCGTCGTGGTAAGTTTGTTCATGTCTACGCATCTAGACAAGTTGGAGCAGTAGCCATCTGGAAACTTCTGAGACGCAAGCCATTGTAATATTGCTGCCTTTTGTGGTTCTGTGACCTGGTAGACTGCTTTTGGAACTTCCTTGCCCTGATATTCTAGATCAACAGAAAGTTCGGGTCTATCACACCAAATAGTCATATCTTTCCTAGCTGCAAGACCGTCTTTAGTTTTGCCTTTCAAATCCATCACTGTGTTAAATATATTGTCAAAGACGTTCTTCTCAGTGTGCATGACATCTAAATTGTGACGGATGAGAAGGTCTTTCCAATAAGGCAACTCCCAGAATATGCTCCTCTTTGTCCACTTATGGGTATCACAATACCCATATGGCTCTTGGTTTGGCTCTTCCATAGCCGTAGGAAAACGTCGAACCCGGTTATAAATTTCTTCACCGGTCAATCTCGGGGGTGGGCTCTCTCGTACCGCTCTGCCTCTAATGAAAGACTTCTTGTCCTTTCGATATCGGTGCCTTTCCGGGAGAAACTTGCGGTGACAATCAAAGTAACTTCCTTTTTTGCTGTAACTAAGCCAGTTGGCACCTGATTTCTCCATACATATCGGACATCCCATCAAACCGTGTGTGCTCCATCCCGAAAGCATGCCATAGGCAGGGAAGTCGCTAATGGTCCAAATGATGGCAGCTTTCATGATAAACATTTTATCTTATGAAACATCATAAGTTGGTGTCCCAACGGCCCACAGTTCTTTCATCTCCTCGATAAGGGGTTGGAGATAAATGTCTATCTTTCGCCCAGGATCCTTGGAACCCGGACAAATTAAAGACAAAAATATGAAATGACTTTTCATGCACATGTCGGGAGGGAGATTGTAAGGAGTTAACATGACCGGCCAACATGAATAGTTCTTGCCAAACCTGCCAAAAGGAGCAAATCCATCTGAGCACAATCCCAGCCGCACATTTCGTGGCTCCATAGCAAACTGAGGATGACAGCGGTCAAAGTGTCTCCAGGCTTCACAGTCCGAAGGGTGAGCCATCATACCCTCGTTGGTTTCGTGCTCAACATGCCATGTCATGTGTTTCGCAGTAGCAGTCGAAGCGTACATCCTCTGCAGTCGAGGAGCTATTGGGAGGTAATACAGTTTAGACAGTGCAGACCTATGTCGTGGTTTCTTTTTACCTTGACGAACAGGTTTGTATCTGTCTCCACCACAGAACTTGCAGAACTCAAGTGCCTCATCCTCCTTCCAGAACAACATACATCCTTCCGGACACGCATCAATTTCAACACAAGGTAGCCCCAACTTAGACATTAACTGCTTCATGTGGTAATATGAATCTGGAAGGGTATGATCTCGTGGTAGCATCCCTCCTACTGACTGCAAGACTCTATTCATGCAAGTTTCAGGGAGACTGTATTCGGCTTTTATGTTCATGAATTCAGTAACGGCGGATAGCTGAGAGTATCCCTCACAATCAGCATACAGAGGTTGGTCGGCAGCTTTTAGAACATCCTGAAATCTCTCAGTCAAACCTTCATCCACATAAGGTTGATAAAATGTCGGATTTTCATCCGCATCTGGTTGATACGAGGTTGAGGCTTCAGGGGGGTCGTTAGGTGGTTGTGGGGGATTGAACTGAGACATCGGTACACCGTATGCGTCATATACCATTTGTTGGTCCCACCTCATTTCAGCACGGTCTCCCCACGCACTCATCTCTGGAGGGACGTAACGAGACGAACCTACCGTTTGTGGTATAACAGATGGATCCAAAGGTTCGCCGTGAGAAGTCCAATTATAATAATTGGGAACAAAACCGACCGCGTACAAATCATACCCAACTTCGTGTGGGTCTTTAAATTTGAGATTTTTACACTTTGAACATGGACATCTTATTTTATCACCACTCATATAAGCCGGATGTTCAAGTGCAAATTCAATAAATTCCCCGACTCCCTCGAGAAAATTTGATTGCATTCCGTACAATACCGCATCTTTATCATACATCCAACTTCTATTTTGTTTATACATTATGCCTGAATATTATAATAAAAAAGTATACACGTTCAAATACTAACAATAATACTAACAAATTTTAAGTGAGTTATTTCACTAAATAATCAACTAACTAATTTTCACTAAATTAAATGAAATGCACACAATTCACAACAATAATTCACAAAATATAAGTAATTACCTAATACTTAAATTTAACTAATATTACAAAAAAATTAAGTAATTTATTAACACTACATTTAAATTAAACATACGTTTAACTAAATTTAACTAATTTATTTAGTTAAATTTAACTAAATTTAACTAGTTCATTCCGTCCTCTTTTAATGCATCACTACGTTTAAACCTACGTTTAGCTAACGAATTTTAATTAAATTATTTTTGTAAACCTACATTTAAACCTAAACTAAATTATTACGTTAATGACATTTAATGTTATTAGTACTACACAATTAACAATTCCAATTCACTAAATTAAATAATATGACCAAATTAAACCCAATAATTTGAACATGTATATAAGGTCATTTGAATTAATAAATAATACACAATTACAATAACAAGTCACAATACACTTAATTAACACATTACTAACGTACGTTTAACTAACTAATTTCAATTAACATAAAGATCACTACGTTTAAAACTACGTTTAGCTAACTAATTTTAATTAAATTATTTTATAAACCTAACAGTTTAACTAATTTTATGACATTACTACGCTTACAGTTGAATATGTTGTTAATTAATTAACAACATCACTAATTTAATAGTTTTAATAATTTAAATTGAACCAACTAATTCTGAATAAAAATAATAATTCAAATAACATACCTTAACTGCATAAATGGGGAAAATGATAGAAGACAGACTACATCCTTCGATCTTTCAAACAGATACTGTATATACTGGGAATGAATTGGTGTGGTTCTGTTGAATGAACTGCTCCTGCATATATAAAAAATTTAGTCACGGACTTAGTCACGGATTTGTCCGTCACTAAGCAATACCGTGTCCATTACGCGTCCGATCCGTGTTAATGACGTGTAAATGACGTGTAAATCAAAGTAGTCACGGACATAGTCACGGACATGGCCGTGACTAAAATTATCCGTACATAATACCGTTGCGGATTGATTTATGGGAGATGCAAAATTATTTTTTAAATTTAGTCACGGCTGTAGTCACGGATGTGGCCGTGACTATGTCGCCGGAGTAAAACAAGCCAGGCCGGAAAATCAAACGGGCAATCGGAGGATGTTAGTCACGGACAAAAATCCGTGACTACGTGTAGTCACGGCACTAGTCACGGTAAAATCCGTGACTAATTTTTTTTTTAAATTTTCGTGACTAGTCCGTGACTAGTCCGTGACTAGGCTAGTCACGGACCAAATCCGTGACTACGGTCCGTGACTAAACGAGTGTTTTTTTGTAGTGGTTACCCGACCGAGTATGAGTAAAAAGTTTACTCGGGTAACAACCTGTGTTCTATACTCGATCGAGTATGGAGGTATACTCGATCGAGTATGCGTAATTATCTTAGTCGAGGAGCAGCCTGGAATCTATACCCGATCGAGTATGGGTGTATACTCGATCAAGTATGCATAGAAATCATACTCGAGTAGTAGTCTGTAATCTATACTCGATCGAGTAAGAATGTATACTCGATCGAGTATATGTGAATCTCAGTTACGAGATTAATTTTGGGCTTGCGGCTCTAATCACTTTTTAGGTTTCCTTAAACCTATTTAAACACCTCTAATGTATCTGTAAACATATCAGACGCCGGAATAATAGGAAATCTCTCTCTCGTTCGCTGTGGACTAGCACAATCACCCTGATTGTGTGAACCACGTAAATTCTTGTGTTCTTGCTCTTTAACTTATCGTTTTTTATCTTAATCCTTAATGGTGACACTCCAAGCTCCCGTAGAGTACTTAATACATCCAAGCTAAAGCTTAGTTTAAATTTTGGAATACAAAATTCACCTACTTTCACTTTTTTCTTTGGGGCATGGCGCTCTAGAAGTCCGGAGCTTTGGGTAATGGTTTCCATCAAAGGCACTAAACCATCTTTTTCATTTGGTAAGATGATGTACATGGAAAAGTGTCGACCATTATCCTCACCTCGTCTATATGGCAATCTCAAGATTTTGAAATCATTGAATGGTTTCACATATTGGTCCTCACTGCTACTCATAAAGGGTACTTGGACAGATGCTCCGCTCATACGGTAGAAATCCCTATTTCTTGTGCAACTTTCATCTAACTCCTCATTCCAAACTCCTTTGAAATAAATTGTGCGCATTTGCTAAAATGAGGATCGTGTTACGGTTAACATCACTCTTTGAAACTGCATCTTTTATAAGGCCGCCTGTTTTCTTCCCAATCCACAAATTCACATCATTCACCACTTCACTTGCCTATACATTCGGAGTATACCCAGCACCACCAGCATAGTGCCATTTTAATTAGATAAGAAAACACTCACAACAATCAAACAAGAAATTACCTTACATTACCCGGAGTGAAGTTTTGATAATTTCCTGAAGGGAAAACTATCAAATAAGCCCATCGATCTACTATTTTCAAAAAGTCAATTGAACCCCTCAACTAAAACAACACTTAATGAAACCCACGAACAGCTAAAAACGAAGCATATAAAAAACGTTTTGAGAAACAGTTAACATAAAAAAAAGTTTATTTCTTTTTAACATTATACTAAGGTATTAATAAAATGCCACGATGAAATTAAATACTGCTGGGAATGTGAAAGTTTTATACTCCGCATCTACTGCAAATTAAAAGAACAAACAATACGATAGCAAAACAGTGAAAAAGCAAAAACCTGGTAACGAAAGTCAACCGATTGAAGAGCTGCATGGTAGGAATTTGCCAAGAGATGCTTATAGGAGGGGTTAAAAGTGAGAGTCCGCTCCATCCAAGCACCGTTAGCCGCCGCGATGCTCGGGCCGCCGGTGCGACTGCCGTCAACGAGGAGTTTCGTGACGGCGTGGGAGGCAAAAGCATCAAAGTCAGCGGTGGAGTCGGCGTTGAGGAAAGAGAGAAGGCTGCGGCGTGTTTGGCCGGTGGAGCCGGCGGCGACCATTCCCATTAACATGTTAACTGAGAGGGGAGAGAAGGCGACGTTGCCCTCTCCTTTGACCACGTCAAAGAAGACATGCTTCGCTAGCTTTAAGGAAGCGCCCGCCTGGTTCGCAATGATTTTAGGGAGCTTCATTCTTGCAGGACCGGGCTAAGGGTTTAATTAGCTATATACCGCGGCCGTACTTAGTTGCGCTTTAGGCAGGACCTACCTCAGGGTTTTATATACATTCACGCCGTGCTACATCGCTAGCTAGTAGCTGTGGGCCTCTAATTATAATTGATCTCATTCATACATTGTAATACGTATGATTGGGCCAAGAATGAAAATAACTTATGGAGTAAGGAGTGTAAATAATTAGGTGACAACTCCGGTACCCATTTATAAAATGGAAGACCGTACCTACCATGCATTTAATTGGTCCAAATCATTATACATAACACGTTTGTTTGAGAGATATAATTATGGAATGTTTTGTATGTCTGATGCAGTAATGATGTTTTTATTTTGACTGTAATTTACTTGTCTGATCTGAACTGATCTGATCTTGTCTCTTTGTGTTTTTATAATTATACAAGTTTCATCTGGTATGAATTTTTTGGTCTCTAATGGATTACAGTCCTAAGTAAAAACATCCTAAACAACCCTTTCATAGTGTAGATTCTCTTCCTAATTTAAAATTATGTTCTAAAATTTAGATGTAATTAAAAGCCCTTACATTAATTAATCTAGATTACTTTGTAGATTATCACTCCAAAAGCTCTTCCTTAGAGGGGCACCAGAACGTCTAAAATCTTGACTTACTATAAAACGTACTCCGATATTTCATAGACTAGTATTCTTATCCGTGATGTGCATGGGATAAAATACATTTTTATATTTTATGTTTTATTATAGAATGTAATGAAAAATATTTGATGGTGTCCATGTCGCTCCATGATATATAGAGAGTATAGATGTAGACATACATCACAACTTGATCTAAATTGGCATCACACCATTTTTTTAATCCTCATCTTTGCATTGAGTGAACACCAACATTCACTACAAGAAAAATTGTTTTTTGCGTCGACAAAAAGTCGACGCTAAAAGCCGGAAGTCGACGCAAATACTTTATTTGCGTCAACAAGTGGACGCAAATGAGTCGACGCAAAAGGCTCGACGCAAAAAGTTTTTTAGCGTCCACTTCTGTCGACGCAAATAAGATTTATCTTTTGCGTCGACTTTGTCAACGCAAAAAGTCAATAAATTAGAAAAAATAAAAATATCTTTTGCGTCGACATGTGGGCGCTAAAGGTTCTATTTTTTCAAAAAAAATAATAATACAATATCTTGATATATAATTACTGTACTCGCACAACACAACATTCTAAACACAGAAAATACATAAATTTAATTACAAATCACTAATATATACCGTCAAATAAAGAACATTCATTATCGAAATATTTTTGGAAAAGCAAACTACCATGTGTAATGTGTTGTAGTAGCTAAACGTGAATAACATACTACATTATACTGATTAAAATGTAAAGCTTCTATAATTTATAAAATACAACCAATTGATGAGATTTGAAACTTCTTTGGGATAAAATCCATGGATTAGAGCGCTACCGCCGGAAACTTCAAATGCAGTAGAAATCCTCTCAATTCAAGAAGGATAACCTCAAAGTTTTCAGCTGTTAATTCTCAAAGGATTAGCAACCTGGCATAATGGAGACAAAAATGGAAGAACATCAAGAAAGAGACATTAATCAAACTGAAAAGTTAGACATTATATTAGTCTGCTAATGTCACACATGAAACTATCTAGCAAATGGGGAAAAAAAATAAAGAATCACCAGTCAACAAAACTTCTTTCGGATTCACTTTCAGATGGGGTGCCAGAATATTATGGTGATAATCAACATCCTAGGCAGCCTGAAACAAAGAAAAACTTCAAAACCAATCACTTTGCATATACAAAAGAAAGTTTTGCAATATACTCCATATTAAAAGAGAAGTAAACCAAATAATTAGTGAGTCCCCAATTAAATAACATATCTATAAAACTAAAATGCATACTGTTAGTTGGAGCATAACTCCTTATCCCGAAAAGCATAAATACACATCCAACCAACTATGCATTAATATGCAATTCTTCATAGGTTTACAATGTTGGTCAAGTTCAGTGTCATCTTCTCTACAATGTTCTAAATTGCCAAATCCTAGCTTCAAACGGATCAAAGATGCCCTGCAATGAAAGTTAAAAATTATACATAAATAAGCACATCAAGTAATGAAAAAATAGAAAAAATGCAGACAGTGATTATTAAAATATTACACGACCCACTGGGCTAGAGAAGAATGTATAAATAAAGGAAAAAATTATTGTGATCAAAACCTATTAAAGATGCATAGAACATGGAATACTGCTACAGCCCAACCTCCTTATTTCGCTCTCATACTTGAGCAGAGTAGGGGATTAACCCAAATTATTTAAAATGTATAAACCTGCAATAAGCCAAATTATTTAAAATGTAAAAACACAATCAATTGCATATCCAAACTAATATTGTTGGCCTAAAAACAAGCTTATATTTATTAGAAAAATCATTAGCTCCGAACTACAAAATAGGACTCCTTTTTTGGATTGCATTACATAAAGAAATCTGGCATTTCATAATCAACTTTGAGAGAATTGTTCGATAAAATAATAGACCTGAAAATCTGGCATTTTGATACGTTTGTAATTTCCGTGTGTTTATTTACGTTTTTAGTTAGTTTTGGTTGTTTAATATTTCGGAAATTACACACTTTTGGTGTAATAGTTTAGTTTGTTAAATTCTTGTAAATTGTTTAGATTAGGTTTATTCTGAGCTTAAACAGTTCCAAGATCAATCAAATGATCATTAGTGAAGGAAGGTGCAAGAGTACAAGACAAAAAGAAGGAAAGTTCCTGATTTTGACCTGTACTCGGTCGAGTATACCTTATACTCGATCGAGTACCAATACTGATTTTCAAGGATCCGATCCGGGAACAAAGGAACATGCAAGGAAAGATTTGGCCACGTTCTATTGTCATACCCGATCGAGTACACCGACATACTCGATCGGGTATACATATAAATTTCAACCCGACTTCGGTCGAGTATTGCTCAAAATTCACCATTCTACACATACTCGATCGAGTATATACATATACTCGATCGAGTACCCGACCTGCACCTCAAAAAAGCCTATAAATACACCTCTTTTACTTCACTTTTAAAGAGCAACTCCTTCTTCCATACTCTTAAGCTCAGTTTAGAATAGTATTTCTTTTATATTTTTATAGCATGTTTA